CTTACATGCTGGATAAGCACTTCGACACTGAGTCACACATCCAGCCCTGGAAGGTTTTGGATCTGGTGTGTGTGTTGTATGTACAAATGTGTATATCCATGCCAGAGGTGGCCACCAAGCACCTTTCCTTAACTATGGTCCATCTTTTTGTTTGTTTTTAGAATACGGTACACTTGGGCGGGAAAGAGGTTCAACAGCGAAGAACACTTGTTGTTCTTGCAGAGGACCCAGGTTCGATTCCCAGCATCCGTATGGGGGCTTACTGTCTGTAACCCCAGGAGATTTGGTGCCCTCTCCCGACCTGTAAGGCCACCAGGCACACACACGGTATACACACATAACATGCAAACAACGCTCATGAAATAAAACATCTAAAACAATCATTAAAAGAAATCATCTAGGCCTGGGGGCGCATGCTTTTAATCAGAGCAGAGGCTGAAGGATCTCTGAGTTTGAGGTCAACCTGGTCTACATAGCAAGTCCCATGCTAGATAGGGCTATATTGTAGTGAGACCCTATCTGAAGGAGGAGGAGGAGAAGGAGGAGGGGAGGAGGAGGAGGAGGAGGACGAGAAGAAGGAGAAGGAGAAGAAAAGCAAAAAAGCAACTTCACAATTTTGCATGTCCCCCTTGCTCGGGGTTGTGTTAATCTCTGCTGTATTATTCCAGTTCTGGTATATATGCCGTCAAAATGAGCACTTCTTTGAGACAGTCTCACTGGCCAGTGAGCTTCAGGTATCCACCATGAATGAGTGGCCATCTTTACTCCCTATCCTGGCACAGGGGTTATAGGTGTACCACCAGCTCTGGGGGCCTTTGTGTGGGTTCCGGGGCAGGAACTTCGTCAACTAAGTCATTCACACACCCTTCTTTTTTTTTTTTTTTTTTTTTTTCAGTCCAGACTGATCTTGAAATTGATGGCAATATTCCTGCCTCAGCCTCCCAAGTGTTAGCTAGGCAGTGGTGGCACACACCTTTTAATCCCAGCTCTCGGGAGGTAGAGGCAGGCGGATCTCTGTGAGTCCATGGCCAGCCTGGTCTGCAGAGCGAGTTCCAGGACAGCCAGAAGAGAAACCTTGTCTCAGAAAACCAAAAAACAAAAACAAAGATTCACAAGGCTCCTCCCTGAAGTTGTATAAGTAGGAATGACTGCTAGGGAGAGGGACCTCAGAGCAGCTAAGCTGTGGGGCTCAAGGACACGGTTTGTTAGCCATCACCCAGCACCTGTAAGTAACCCCAGTAAACTAACCGGTCCACCGAGGTGGACTGTCGTGGTATCATTACTCTGTCTCTGTCTCTTCTGGGGAGAATGGATATTTGTCCCTGTTCTCCAGGAAAGCCACACAACACATCCTTAGCCCCGTGACAACTGTCCTCCATAGGCAAGAACAGCCTGTCAGTCAGTCAGTCAGTCAGTCAGTCAGTCAGTCAGTCAGTCACCTCGGCCTGACTGGACTAGCCTCGATCCAGCTGTCAGCCAGGAGCTCGGCTGAGCTGTTGACTAGAATTCACATGACCTCTCCCTGTGCCCTGGGTTTCTCACTGCACACTGGCTCACATGACCTCTCCCTGTGCCCTGGGTTTCTCACAGCTCGCTGGCTCAGTTCCTGGAGGAAGCATTCCCAGGAACAAGCATTCCAAGAGGCGGGGAAGGGAAGCTGCCAGGCCGGAGGAAGGGCGGTGTCAGAACCGGCACGGTCCCAACTGTCCTCTTCACCTCCTCTGTTGATTCCAGTGATCATAAGCTCACTCAAGTTCAAGGAGGTGGAAAGAGAACTCTTTTCTCCTGTCCTCCTTCCCTCCCACTCTCCCATCTTCCTTTTTCTTTCTGGCCTTTCTCTTGAGATGCGTCTTGCTGGCCTCAAACTCATGACCTTTTAAAAAGTACTATTTTTAAATTATGTGTATATGTTGTGTGTGTGTGTGTGTGTGTGTGTGTGTGTGTGTGCGTGTAAGGGGGCATGTGCATGTGAGTGCAAATGCCCACAGATGCCAGAGGAGAGCGTCAGATCCCTTGGAGATAGAGTTACAGGCAGTTGTGAGGCACCTGGCTTCCATAGCAAGTGCTCTCAACCTCTAAGCCGTCTCCCTGCTTCCGAACTCCCAAATGCTGGGATTGTCAGCACGTGTCACTATCCAAATGAGGAACGACAAAATCCCATTGCAGAAAACTGTAGGACGGGAGTGTACTGGTCTCTGCAATGGGGTGCCCCAAGAAGCCACTTCCCAGTGGCCCCGGGTCACTCCGACGTGGCTTGACTGCTCTTCCATAGCTGCCTTGCTTTTTGTCTAGTGCTGGTGATCGAACCCTGGCCCTCACCCATGCTAGGCAAACGTCCTGCCACTGAGATACATCCCTGGAAAATGTTTTTGCTGCCTGTGGTGGCCACACCTTTAACCCGAGCACTAGGGAGGCCGAGGCAGACAGAGCCCTGTGAGTTGGAGGCCAGCCTGGTTTGCATAGTTAGTTCTAGAACAAATAGAGCTACAGAATGAGATACTGTTTCAGCACACACACACACACACACACACACACACACACACACACACACACCACACCACACACCACACACACACACCTTGTTAAGTACCCAAGCAGGCTTCAAATTCATTATGTAGTCCAGGGAATTTGCAATGCTCCTGCCTCAGTGCCCTGGTATTATGGGTGTGCATCACCATGGCTACCTTACTAATTTATATAAGAAGACAAACTAGGTTCAAGTTATTTTCTGCCCTCAGACATCCAGTACTCCACGGATACCTGGCTTTTTTAATGGTCGCTCTATCAATGTAATGTTTGTGATCCAGCCGGGCAGTGGTGGCACATGCCTTTGATCCCATAACTTGGGAGGCAGAGCCAGAAGGATCTCTGTGAGTTCGAGGCCAGCCTGGGCTACAGAGTGAGTTCCAGGAAAGTTGGAAAAAAGAAAAGTTTATGATCCACAAGACATTGGCTCACTTCGCTTTATTTTTTATTTATTTATTTTTTTTGGTTTTTTTGAGACAGGGTTTCTCTGTGTAGCTTTGGAACCTGTCCTGGAACCACTTCATACTTCTTTAGGAAAAAAAATATTTTCAGCCGGGCGGTGGTGGTGCACGCCTTTAATCCCAGCACTCGGGAGGCAGAGCCAGGCGGATCTCTGTAAGTTCGAGGCCAGCCTGGGCTACCAAGTGAGTTCCAGGAAAAGGCGCAAAGCTACACAGAGAAACCCTGTCTCGAAAAAACCAAAAAAAAAAAAAAAATTTTTTTCATTTTATCTCTGTGTCTGCATATATGTTAAATGCACCATATACGTGCAATGCCCATGGAAAGGACATTGGATCCCCTGGAACTGGAGTTACAGTTGTAAGCTTCCACGTGGGTGCTGGGCATCAAACCCTAGTCCTCTGGAAATCCTCCTAATTGCTTAGCCAGCTCTCCAGCTTTTTTTTTTTTTTTAAAGACAGGGTCTTATGCTGTATCCCTGGCTGGCCTAGAACTCCTAGTGTAGACCAAGCTAGCCTTGAACTCACAGAGATCCACCTGTCTCTGCCTCCTGAGTGGTAGGAATAAAGGTATGCGCCACCAGGACCGGTCCCCCCACTTCCAGATGTCATTCTTGCTTTGCATCAAGACTCAATGGAAGGGGCTGGAGAGACGGTTCTTACGGTTGGTTCTTTCAGAGGACCTGGGTCTGAGTTCTAGTACACATGTTAGGCACCTCACAACTGCTTGTAGCTCTCATTCCAGGAAATCTGAGGACCTCTGGCCTCTTCTGGCCTCCTGGGGCACCTGCAGTACACATAACGTGAACTAGAAAGACATGCATACGTACACACAAATAATAAGTAGATTTTAATTTTTAAAGACTGAATAGGAGAACCGGCATTCCTAAATCCATTAGGAAATAAGAGGAAAATGCCATTGTGCCATCCACCTAGCCAGATGGCTAAATGTGTGTGTGTGTGTGTGTGTGTGTGTGTGTGTGTGTGTGTGTGTGTGTGTAGGCCAGGGGTTGTCATCAAGCATCTTCTCCACTTGCTCTCCACCTTACATTTTGAGATTGGAGTTCATTCACCAAACTGGGTAGGCTGGCTGGTCACTAAGACCTAGGACCTCTACCGTTTCTACTTCCTTAAACCCAGGGTTACAGGAGTGCCACCACACCAGAGTTCTTCTGTGGGTGCTGGGGACCCAACCGATCCATCTTCTCAGCTCCCTGAACCCATTTTTATCGTCTCTCGGAGGCCCCTCGGCCAGAACAGTAATTCTCTTCCCTCTGCCTAGTCTTTGGCTAAGGACTTGACGGAAGCCGAGGAGCAGTATGCCCACGCTCTCCGCAGCCACCTACACAACGTTGACCAGCTCCTGACCCTGCAACGTCGCCGTCTCAACCTCCTGGAGGAAAATTACAACATGGAGCTAGAAGTCCTGACCAAAGAGTTTGAGACGGAAAGGTATGGGGCCAGAGAGTCAAGAGACTGGGATCGGGGGGTTCCCAGAGCCCATCCCCAATACCAAGGGGCCTCCTTCCTATCCATAATCCCAGGCAGGGAGGGTCCCGAGTTCCTTGTACATGAATCTGGGTTTAATCTTACAGCCTTAGCTTACCTTGACCCCCCCTGCCAGGTCACTGTCTGTACCTCCTAATTCCAACTATCAAAATTCTATCCATCTAGCAGTACATAGGGATGGAATAGAGATTTCACTGTCAATTTACTTACATTTTTGTTTCTGTATCACATGAAGGTATTACCTATTCAAAAATCAAAATATTCTTTCTGGAAAAAAAAAAGAAAAAAAAAGAAAAAAAGACAAACCAAAACTTTCCCTCCCTGCCTGCCAGTGCCTAAAAGTTTGTTTTAGTTTGTTTTTTGTTTGTTTGTTTGTTTGTTTTTGTTTGTTTGTTTTTTTTTTGAGACAGGATTTCTCTGCATAGGTTTGCACCTTTCCTGGAGCTCACTTGGTAGCCCAGGCTGGCCTCGAACTCACAGAGATCTGCCTGGCTCTGCCTCCCAAGTGCTGGGATCAAAGGTGTGCGCCACCATCACCCGGCTTGGTTTTGTTTTTTAAGGCAGAGCCTCACTATATATTCCTGGCTGGCTTGGAACACATTATGTAGACCAGGCTACCCTCTAACTCACAGATATTTGCCTGCCTCTGGCTCCCAAGAGCTAGGACTAACAGACCGCGCCACCACACCTGCCCACTCGAGCTACATTCCGTATTTCATCTTTGTTATTTTTGGTCTACATGCTAATATCCATCATGTCTCCTCTAGGAAGACAATCATTGACCAGCATGAGAAAGAAATTCACTACCTACAGGATGTCTTCATGGCCATGGAGCAGAACTATATCGATTCTGAGTATGAGAGCAAGCTAGAGTTCCAGAGCATGTGGGATGATCTGAAAAACAAGGTACAGGGGGAGCAAGGAAGGACGGGATCCGGAGAGGCATGACGAAACTGTTCAGGGCAAGCAGAGCTGGATGAGAGCCCCAGAGCCAACAGTCAATAAAAGTCTGTTGCCCTGAGGGGCCCCGTGCTTCTTTGTGATCTTGTGAAAACTGCTTGGGAGGCAGGGCTGGTCTAGAACATTCTGGGAATGTATTTTAAGGCAAAACAAAAAACAGAAAAACTAAACAAACAAACAAAAAAATCACCACCATGACCAACAACAAAAACCCAAGAGATCATCTGGCTTTGTCCTTTTGAGTCGTAGATGAAGAAACAAAGACCCAGAGTGGCCACATGAGCAGCTTGGCTCCACTGCTGGTTTGTGATTGGTTGAGGACAACCTAGGTCAGTAGAATCTTGATCCATAATTCTTTCCACCATAGTTTGCCGTCTAGTCAACATGCAGAAGTTTGGGTATAGAATTCTTGGTTATCAATTAACTTACTTTTGAGACAGCACCTTCCTTAGCCCAGGCTGACCTTGAACTCACTATGTGGTGGAGCATGACCTGGAACTACTTTTGCGCTTTTACCTTAAACTTCAGATCCTCCTGCCTCCACCTCCCGAGTGGGGTGACAGGCATGCACCTGTAGCTAGAGTTTTCCTGCCTTGCCCACAGTCAGGACAAATCTCTGTCACCCGCCAGTCCCACAGCCGCTCAGACCCAACCAAGTAAA